GCTAAAAAAAAATTTGGATCATTTTTCTATTTATGCGTATCATCCTTGCGCATGGACCATCATAATTTTCTCTATATCGTTCCAATTTAATCGGATATCCTCGAAGGGACTTTCTTTCTATTTCTTATCTTTTGATTTGGTGGCATTAGACGAGAAAACATTGAAGATGTCAATCAACACAATGTACAATGAACACAAAAATAAAAATAATCCCTTGATATACGTTGGGGTTATAAAACGCCATGCATGTGGTCACATGGCTAAAATCGGTCGGTTCCTCCATTCACGTTTTAGATTTGTGTTAACGAGTCTTGGTTCATTTTCTTCGGCGGGAGAGGATGGGCCTAACATTATTTTATCATTACGATTTGTAAACAACGATAAGTATTGTGCTTGTTTTAAAAAAAAAATATTCGAGTACATTGTTAAATGTTCCAACTATAAATGATTGTTTTATGCTTCACGCAATTTAGGTATTACCGTTAGTACGTACACGAATGCTAAAAATCTGAATACTCGTTTTAAAAAATGTTGAATCATAGTCAGCTTTGGATAATACACAAGTCAAAGGTTTCAAAGACGATGAAGGTTCTCTTCTTTCTTTTTTTTTTAAAGACGAGGAAGTTTCTCTCAACCTTTTTTCTATGATGTTTCGGTTTTCTGTTACTTATAGGATCCTATCCTTTATTCGATTTTTCACATACATTTCGGATATTTCGTTATCAGAATTTCCAATGTGCTGTTTATTTTAATGTAAAAAATAAGAAAACAGAATAACAGAACATTTCTTTTTTTTTATGATACATGAAAATTTGTTGATGTCACGTAAACATTAGAGCATAAATAGTGGTGATACAATGTGGATATCATTAAATATAAAATTATTAAAATTTGAGTAAAAAGAAGAAAGAGAGTGTTTTTGATTGAAATAATGGGGTGTATTGAAATATAAAATTAATAAAATTTGAGTAAAGAGAAAATATAGTGGGTATTTTTTGAGAGAGAGTATCAAATAGTTGATACCTTTGATACTTTTGAACAGAGAAAGAGTGTGTTTTTAATAATTTTATATTTAAAGAGAGTATAAAATTAATAAAGTTGAGTAAAAGGATGAAGGAGAAAGTATAAAATTGAATAAAATGAAGAAAAAGTGTGTATTTTAATAATTTTATATTTAATAATACCGATGTTGTATCACCAATGTTTATGCTCGTAAATCAACACGATAACCTAAGTTCAAGATATCGTGGTGCATATTTTTTTAATATCCTGAATAAACATGACATGATCTAGTTATCTATTTAAGTGTAATAGACATCGTATGAAATTAAATTGGATGCTGGGAAATCATATATTGGAAATTATATGATCGATAGAAACATAACTCGTGTGACTTAGATTTCATTTCACTATTATACAAAAGTTTATATATAGATTTTCAAAAAATTTCGCGAAAGGATATGAAATATAAGTCTATTGGGTAATTATCCCGATTTGTTAATTTCAAAAGTAGAAAAATCATAAACCTACATATATAGAAAAAACAGCTAAATCTGGTAATGATTTATAAAATGGAATGAAACAAATAGCAAACTAACCCACAAATTCCAAATTCATTGACATTTTTCAAGTCTTATAGTAAGGAAAAAAATCTTACTATAAAAATTTCATGGTATTATTCGGAAATAAAGGTTGTATCTATCTGTATATTATTAAATTATAATTGATACGTCAATAGTCATCATCTCATTTTACCTCGTCGACCTTCTAGTATTTTGTAATTTATATTAAAACATAATATCAAATTATGTGAAGACACATATTCAAAAAGGGGGAAAATTATAAACTAAATTTATAAAAACCAGCATACTTTCAAAATAAAAATTAAATCACTATCATATACTTTAACAGTATACATAGATAATAATTATCTATGAACTATCGACGAAAAATATATATATACAAAAATAACAAAATTGAAGCAAAAAACTCAAATCTAATAATTCTATTTTTTTACATTTAATTATTTATATATAGAAAAATAAAATTAACAAACTAATCCAATATTCTTATATTCCATTTAAATTTCCGAATTC